CCGATCACTACTGAAGCAAGGAACACTAGCTGACCCTCTGGCCTAAGTACATGACTATATGTTGTAGCTCAAATATGTGACTATACGTTGTTAATGTTAGTAAAAAGGTCTAGTCGAATACTGACTACATCCCGCGTCCTCACGTTGAACGAAGAATCAGTTCACTAAGAATTTCCACGTAGTGATGAAATAGCGATCAGCATTCTATGGCAAGTGCACCGTGAACGAACAAAATCCATAGGCTCCCAATACAATGGAGTTTAAAATGAGTCCGTTTGACGTTCATGCGAATGCAGAACGTTCGGTAGGCGTGAAATTGATTTTGACATAGGATGCACAAAAATAGTGAGGAAACACCACCGTGAGGAATGTCAATATGCATCGTTTTACTAAGAAATTGCTGAAGAACGGGTACAAAGCGTGCTATTAGCTCGTTGTAGCTGTCCGCCGATTGTTTTTCAACCGCTTTGACATAACCGGATCAAGCATAGTGAATTAGGCGCCCGTGATGCGATCCAGCTGGATTATAGAGGGTATTTGGGCCGTGTCTCTCGATAGCGAACAATTATTTGTTGGTGTATATGATCTAGTCACACGGAATCACGTATCCGAGATGGTACCCTACAAAACCGCATAATTTACAATCTGACTTCAAATTAACACCCGGTACTTAATATCCACTCTGGATAATTGTCAATGAATATTACACATTCTCATTCTCCTTCCATGCATATACTCGACAATAGTAAATTCTTTATCGGAGACTGACTCCGTGCATCTAAACATCTATCTACAAAGAGCTTCCTATATCATTGGATGCTCGGCTTATTACTGTTACGTAAGCATTCTCGGATCACCGACAGAGAATACATCTCGGCTCTGATATACCATACACACAGTAAAACACCAGATGAATGTGGTGAAACACCGGGCGGATGCGATGACGGACCACATGGATTCTCATATCAGATACGCGAGTTAGAGGACTCGGTTGAGTTTCCGCGTGACCCCGAATCTGATATAATGCCGCGTGTCAACTGACCGAAAAAGTGCAGAGGGTGAGCCTATTTTCTTAGCTGCTAACACACCGTTAATTGCGTTACGGAATAGCGTCGCATTCTCTATTACGCCTATATTGATAAGCGATCGCTTTGAATTCCTTCAACGTACAAACGTCTTGTGCACAACCAGGCAGCTTCAAAAGTCGTTCAGATGTGTCAGTGTCTGAGTTCTGGTAGTATACTCTCACAAATGGATTCTCATCTGTGAGGGTAGAATGCGTACAGCTACTTAGTTTAGATGCGAAAAACGTACGGGAATAAACAATTGTACTCATATACTATGATTGTGACGCAAAACCTATCTTCTCAAAATATACGTAGCGTGATTCAAATACGGATAGGTGTTGGTACCCTTAAAAGTGGACCAGGGCAGTCACAAAATTCGCATAGTAAAGAGCTCATGCGTTGTTTTCACACGTACACATACCTTTCACAGCGAGCTGTATATCGAAATGGCTGGCGTAACCGGGCCACTCATCATCGTACACAGCCATCGCACACAACATGGGAATTATAGTGGTATCGTGACCGGAATATCTGTGGGGAAGGGGCAAGAGTGAGCTTATTTGTCAACACATTCAGATTCAGTACTGCAACACGAGAATGGCTCTCAATGGAGTGTAGAATATCCTACTTGTAAACATCTCAGAACAAGCGGAAAATAATGATATCTCATAATTCGTGAATGGGGGTACGTAAGCCACACTGCAGAAGCAGACACTGAAAGAGTTCAATTAAACTCATGCAATGCTTCGTGTGGTGTGCGCATATAAAACGTACACTCACACAACAAGTCACACAAATGCTCGATTTGTGTATACAGGAAACGAGTTTTCACTTACAAGCGCAGTTGCAGCCTATCATTCAAATTCGGAGATCGATTTTTCTTGTAGTCGGTGAATCTGCGGTCCATCTCATCGTAGAGCATCTGCATCAACGCCATCGTGCCTGAGGTATTGCGCGAGAAAGTACGAGCTGCTATCTACATGGAATAAAAGCTCGGGCCTTTGCTGTCTAAGGAGAGTAGCGGAGACTACATGGAATAATAGCCCGAGTCTTTGCTGTCTAAAGAAAGTAGCAGAGACTACATGTAATAGACAATAGTAAAATTCATACAGCATTATTCGTATATATACGGTTCTGCACCTCAACGACAAAACATTGTAGGATACAGGTCCAAATGTGGTACTATCACAGGTTTCCCAACGAATCTGAGAGAACTAGTTGAAGATCAGTCAAATCTGTTTTGGTTACTGTCGATTGTAACTACAATTGACTAGAACATTGCAGACGGTTACATACAAAAATCTCTATCGTGTCCCAGTGTGAGATAAAAGGAACAGTGGATACCGTCTCCTAAGATCAATAATAGCTGGGGCAAGACAAATCAGGCTGAATGTACATTGTGTGTGTGTACATTCATATTATTCGAGAGACTGTAAGATAAGAGCCATATACCACTCAATTACGCGCTGCTCAAATCTGAACATTCGAAATAATCTTTAAATTCATGGGATATTGACGCTTACAATGAATGAAAACTTGACAAGCAAAACAACACGGCAGAGAGTGTTGGACGTTGAAAAGCACGGACACATGCACGCATTGTTATTGCGCATAGTGAAAGATGAGGCCTTTATCATCATTGTTATACGTCATATGATGACCAAATCATATTGAGAATGAATGGACCAAAGTAGGCACTCATATCCACATCCATAGGTAGCGGCGCGTGCGTGACCATGAGTAGTCAGTCATAACGGAGTTACGGTCTATGTATAAGTAAATTCAATTTTCAAACCAATTGATAATGCCACACTTGTTCAAATCGACTCCTAGTATTTCGTAGTGATGACAAACAGTTGATACGGCCGTTGTACACAGCTAGCACATGTCACCACCGCTCAGATTTTTTCAACTATGTATGATCGGTGCACTTATGTACAAACAATCAGTGCATTTCATCAGGCATGAACAATTAATTCCTACCGACTTACAGCATTAATACAGACACATTAATTCCTCCCGACTTACAGCGCAGTACATACTCTCCTACCAACTGACCAGATACCAGCAATATCTGATTGTCACATAATGCCCACATTCAGTGTACAATGAAACAGCATGTAATCGTCATCCATACCTATTTCCAGCATTGTCTGGTCAGAAAATGCGATGCCCAACTGCACCGAGGCCTCCTTCCGCACCCTGTCGTACATGTCCTGTGTGAGTGTTCCTGGGAAGCCGAGTGCATGCGACATACGGACATGCAGCTGGTCGAAGACAGACTCCCACAAAGGTCCCTTCTTACCTGTGCTTGTGAAGAAGATATCAAGGTCAAATTACCCGTTCAGATTGTTCCAAGACTACCTAGTGTGGGACTCGCTTACAAGATTCAATTTGTATACAAAAGGCATCACTAGTTCTAGAGGCAGATTCATAAAGTCCGATCGTGATCCACTACAAAAAAAGCCGTACATCGATACAGGCTAGCCCACAGAAGTGTTGCGTATGTGTCAACACACTGGACAAAAATATTACCTTTCGAGGTTATATAGCGCAAGAGTTCGTCTTCCGCAATACCCAGTTCATGAGCAACTGGGTTGACTAAAGGCTCGCCATGGGACTTCCACCTGAAAATAATGAGCGGAAAGTAGGTACATTGTATCAGACTCCAATACATCACATAGTGATTCACGTATGATAGCAAATATACACTTCGTAACTGGGGTCAGATAGTGCAGATGCACCAAATGCAGTAGATACGCAAACACTTATTCAAAATAATAGTCACAAAATAAAAATGGGGTTCATGTCCCTCAGCATGTCATTTGATTGTCATCTGCAATCGTCAGTGCCTTCAACAGTACCTGGTGATCCACTCCGGGGTTGTGTACACATCTGATATTGCATCGACAAATTGCTGACAGTGCGAATTCGGGTGCAATATGGTACTGGCCTGCTGCGCGACCTTCACATCGAGATTGCTGTACAGAACAACGGTGACATCAACAATGTTTGTAGCTTATTCAGAATGAGATAGTTAATGTATATGTATATATATCTGAATATATTCTGCTTATGGCGGCCATGAAATCAATTGCGTAGTTGGATCGATACTTCATCGATCCCCCAATCAACATACTGGACACCGTACGCGATAACAGATCATCTTCACACTGTCGGACTGCATATAGTCATTTCTCTGTGTGTCTAGGCCTACAAGTACATATATCCACTAAACCTTCTTTTATGCTCAGGGCTGTATTGTGTAGAATACCCACCCCACCACGTTGAAATCTTCATACTGTCTGACTGCATATAGTCGTTTCTCTGTGTGTCTAGGCCTACAAGTACATATATACACTAAACCTTCTCTTATGCTCAGGGCTGTATTGTGTAGAATAACGTTGAATAGATCGAACACGACCGGTACATGGGAAAATATATGCTTTTGAGCGCTTTCTACAGTTATTTATCGACTACTATATTTCTAAATATCATCTTCTGGGTTTAAGGAGCACTTTTCAGAAATATCTATCAAGAATACGTCCAATATCTAATATGGTCAGGAATACACATAATTACGAGAAGGTCTTTACTGAGGCGTGGCGAGTGATACATAGACTTCAAATTAGAACACCAGAACGCTTCCGCACGCACGTATACATACAAGTTCATCATCAAACTGTCTGTATAATGGGCACAAGCACATCCTGAATCTATGATTACACTACCTGTACAGTCAGTTTCCGGACTAAGTATGATACTGCAACAATACGCTTTATATGTAATATCTGGTATAGATATTGAAGCATTCATAATATACTGTAAGTGTACGTGACACAGAGATAGAGGGGACTTACGCTTCACCTTCAAATAGACGAAACCCTTTGAGAAAACACGCCAGTGACTTGTGTGTTCTATCGTAGTTGGTGGCATGAAGCTGTGTCAAACTCAGTCTCTCACTCCTGTGATTTCAAAAATCAGGTGGCAGCAATTAGCAAGTATCATTTCGAGATAATACACATATAAGCGGATATTGGCTACACATAAGGGTGATTTAAAAATAACAGACGAAGGAAACTCACAAAAATTTGTGATTATGTCTCGACTACTAAACTCTGCAGCTGGCATAGTGGATGCATTGTTCAGCTCTACTCACTCAGAAGTGCATACAACATCAACAAAGTGACGGTAGTTTCCGGTTGCCTAGAGTTATACTGGTGCCACCACTTGTATCACCGTATATCTTTGACAACATAGGTGTAATTCATAAACATTCAGTGTAATATTACTTTTGCGTATCGCGTGAGTTGGATGATGCGCATACGTGGATGTCTGCAGATAGTAGTTGCCATATTTCTGAAGCATCTTCCCACCAAGAGCAACGTGTTGGCGACAACCTTTAGCAGTCAGAAGCCCCTTTTCACACACAGGCTCGTGTTCGTCGTCGGTCGCGATTATTTTTAAAGATGGATTCTGGAACAAAAGGATAGGTGAGATTCTGATAGTAGAAATGAAGTTCGATTTTGTTGACAGGTAATTATTATATGACCATACATATATACAT